CTTTACTTTACTTTACTTTACTTAACTTTACTTTACTTTACTTTACTTAACTTTACTTTACTTTACTGTACTTTACTTTAACTTAACTTTACTTTACTTTACTTTACTGTACTTTACTTAACTTTACTTTACTTTACTTTACTTTACTTTACTTTACTTTACTTTACTTTACTTTACTTTACTTCACTTTCCTTTACTTCACTTTCCTTTACTTTACTTTACTTTCCTTTACTTTACTTTACTTCACTTTCCTTTACTTTACTTTACTTTACTTTACTTTTTCCTTTACTTTACTTTACTTTACTTTACTTTACTTTACTTTACTTTACTTTACTTTACTTTACTTTACTTTACTTTACTTTACTTTACTTTACTTTACTTTACTTTACTTTACTTTACTTTACTTACTTTTACTTTACTTTACTTAACTTTCTTTACTTTACTTTACTTTACTTTACTTTACTTTACTTTATTTTACTTACTTTACTTTACTTTACTTTATTTTACTTTACTTTTCTTTACTTTACTTTATTTTACTTTACTTTACTTTACTTTACTTTACTTTACTTTACTTTACTTTACTTTACTTTACTTTACTTTACTTTACTTTACTTTACTTCACTTTCCTTTACTTTACTTTACTTTACTTTACTTTACTTTACTTTACTTTACTTTACTTTACTTTACTTTACTTTACTTTACTTTACTTTACTTTACTTTACTTTACTTTACTTTACTTTACTTTACTTTACTTTACTTTGCTTTACTTTACTTTACTTTACTTTACTTTACTCTCTTTACTTTAAATTTACTTTTTTTTACTTAACTTTAAAAACATAAGAATAAAGCTTAAAGCTTAACTAAATCTAAAAACTAAGGTCAACATTAACGTAACATAACGTTGCGTTACCTTACGTTCCGGTACGTTCCGTTCGTTACTTTACTTACCTCATTCTATTTTACTTTTAGTTTAGTTTCGTCTCTTTTGTTTTGTTTAGTCAAGTTGACTTTAGTTTTTAGATTTAGTCAAGCTTTTAGCTTTATTCTTATGTTTTTATATTTAATTTTCAGTTTTTTAGGGTTTAGTTTTCTAGTTTTATTTGCATCATACTCCTTTCGACTGAAAATTTTTTAAAGATTTCGAGACACTTATATTTCCTGAGCCTTGTCACGAATAAAATGAACACATTTATCAATTGCGACCGAACGGGTCGAATGCGGCTTTCAAGCAACGACAAAAAGAGAAACAATGTTTCATTGTCTATAAAACCTAACCTACGCGGATGATAAAATCATATACCCGAGCTGAGATGGTACCGTAAACTCTATGGCTTTGTGCCAAATAATAGAACAGTGTGCTATTTGTTGAGGAAAATTGACCCTTTAGTGGCTTATGATTTATGTTGGTCTTGTTTTTAAGATCCTAAAATAATTATGGGACAATATTTGCCAGGTTTTTGCTTCTAATATCTTTAGAAAATGTTACAAGGTATATGTGAACCAGCTGAAACGTGAGTTTTATGAAATATGTTTGTAGTGCGGTATGCTGTTCCAGCATGTCCTCAAGTGCAAATCGTTGCCTTGCAAAAAGCTTTGTTGTTAAGGCATTAGGGGTGTCGGAAAATCCGCTTAGGAGTTCTAGGTTGCATTTAAATGCTTGTTTTGTTTGTTTCGATGAATGTAAAAGAAGACAATTCTTATTGAAGACCAAATAAAAGATCGTTGTTTCTACAGATCGTTAAGGAAGTGAAAAATATCTCCGGTGACCTCTCGGTTTTCCGCTTTTGTTTTAAATCCGAAAAAGAGTTTAAGTACAAATAAATTCTGAATTGATCGTGTCTTCAGTGCCAATTTTGTTACATTAATACCCATCCAAGGTCACTAGGTGCATTGCTGAAATACTAGATTCATTCTTGGACAGTTTGATGAACATCATTGTGCAACATTAATGTGTACCTTCAGTTGACCCAGTCTGGTTATTGAGGCTTAGCTGTATATTGTTAGGGGTTATGTAGCATAACAGTCCCTACCAAGCTTGTCTATTTTACATTTTGTGTACGATGAATAAGTATGTGATATTTTATATAGCTGCTAGGGAGGATGACATTATATATAACTGTAATGAACTTGATACATAAAGATTTTCTGTAGAGTATTTTTCCTTAAATTGCATCATAATTTGCATCCTTGCTTGCAAGGTTCCAAAGAGTCCAAACAGGGGTATCGAGCTTTAAAAGACAAAAAAGGGGACCACGCAGAATAGCCCCCCTCCCCTCCTTTGAGACCTTAGTGCTCTTGCACCACTGGATCCAAGCAATGTGTGTACATAAATTACTGTATTGACAATGGTTTAAAGAGGACGCGTAAGTCGATTTGTCGACCACTTTCAGTTGAGATTAACGCGATAAAAAGGATTTTGGAAGCGCGTCCAAAATATCTCGTTACTACGAACGGAGAAATGGTCTTAAAAGAATATGTTACTTTAAAAAATTCCATTCATAACGATTTAAATTACAAATTTTCAATGATTTTGGAAAGAGATAAAAGAGATCTAGATTTTAGATAATTTTGTTTGATATTCATTGAGTTAATCCATTACTTTAAAAGTCAGCGATCCAGCAACAATACATTTAGAATATAGATTTCAACGTATGCAAATGCAGTGTCCAACTTGTCACAAATGAGTTGCAAACAGAAATAAGGATTTTTTTATCAGCTTAATCTGAATTAAAATCAAGTTCAAGTTGGGTGGATTAATCAGATGGCAGAATAAAGAGTGTCCCAAATATCAGAAAGGTCTCACTCTAAGGGTAACATTGCTTACAAGATTGGTTAGAGTTTTCGCTGATTTAAAGTCCTGGGTTCGCAGGTGCAAACAGAATCGGAGTTTTGATTAAACCTACTCAAATACGTCGAATCGCTTTTTCCAGCTACAACTCTTTTTGTGGTCTGATCTCAGGAAATTACCTTTAATTGATTTTTAAACCTATGTACCGTCAATCTTTAAACCTGTGTTATTGCTAGGTCACTTTACACTAGCCCATCTTATATACAAAACCCTCTTTCAAAGTCTCGAAGCTTTCGGACAAGAGCTTAAAAAATTAAAAAAAAGTTTGATGTTGTGTTATCAATCATTTTATATTTGATTTGAGTTCTCAAACTGTCAGTTTCGTACATTTTGATTTCCTGCCACAGTTTGTGACATCTCTTCTGATTTTTTCAACATTCTTTAAAAATTTGTGTACATTTTAGGTAGCTTTGTTTGCTATTAAAAAAAAAATATTTTTTGGACCTTTGCGACAACTGCAGTAGTTTTCGCTACCTATTGACTCAAATAAAATCTTAATTATGTTTATATGACAATTAGGGTTGATGAATTGTGTGAAATAAAGTTTTCGTGTAAAAAACATCCTTAAGAAACATTGTGTACCAAAATGAAGTAGAAAATTAAGAAACTCGTATAACAGAATTTTGTTAAAGTTCTTTATAAAATGTAGGTGTATAGTGAGAACTCTGAAAGCAAGTCATCCAAAGAAAATTGTAGAAAAAGACAGGGCAGACCGATAGTTCTTCACTATTCTTATCTTCCAATCGCCATCCCCGTTATTGACAGTAGTAACGATATTACCACTATTCGAAATGTGTTTTGCTGCATATCACCCTTAATAACTGGCTCCACGCCCTAGGAAGGTACACAGGGAGTTCTTATGATAACGAGATGTTGGGTTCATTCGCCTAAAGGCATATGTTCGCGGTTCTCTTTCATGCTCCAAGTTATGAAATTACGCTAGAAAGGGCTTCGCCAGTATTTGTATTGGAAAATTTATCAGAGCACTTTGTCACAAAATACGTTTTTGTGAGTTATTAATTAGGAAACCGAGATGATAAGGAATACTAATTGCCAAACTACGCCAGGTGTCCAGGAATAGCTGCGTTTCCGAGATCGAGGAAAATTTCACCTTTGAAGCTTTAAAGGTTATCCTGGGTATTTCTCTAACAGATAAAAAGTACTTATACAAATGGTTTCAGGCGTCACTCTTTATTCCTTTGCCAGTTACTTTTGCCTAGAGCCATTCTTTGAAGATCTTCATTGTATTATAGCTCAAGGGTGGGGGTGGATGGGATAACGAAACGTTTTACGTTTAAGAGACTGTCCTGTAGATGTAAGAATCTGGGGCACAGGGGGTTCATACCTCCCACTCACTTTTCAGAAACTGGTTTAAATCAGCTATTTGCACCTTCACGGAGATGCCCCTATTTTATCGACTTGTGCCAAACCACCCACCCCCCCACCCCCGCCCCACACACACACACACACTTCTTCATCAATGTTCGCTACATCTATGGTAATGTATAATCAATTTTGTAGCCAAAACTAACATATTTCACTACGAAATAAAGACAAAATTATATCTTCAAGATATGAAAATTATTAAATACTGTAATTTCAGAGGGGTAAATTTTGCATCTAATTTTGAAGATCTAATTTTGATATAACTGAAAAATTTTGCTGTATGGAAAATGCATTGCATGTATTAATAAGCATTGTAGCTGCTATTAGATCGATGAGCTCCGGTAGTTTTCTGCTCGGCTTGATTGCCTACATATATAGTTTTCTATGTCTTGTAATAGTTGGAGGGTCATATTATATCGCTTATTATACACTAATCATGAGGTAAAATTTTCAATAAAAACAACGATTGATGAAATGTTCTATACGTTTGACGCCCTTGTTTGATGACGAAATTACAGGTGAGATGCTGGGTGAAATTTGATCGCAATCAAAATCATTTGCAATTAATTCCATTGTTCACAAAATTTAGAGTCATATTTTATACTAAATGGACTAAATTGTCCAACTAAATGGATTGCAAAAGATTTTTTGATAAAATTTCTTGTGAATTTTGATCGCAAGTCAAAATCGTTATTCAACATCGCTCTTATATGTGTTTGATAAAAAACCACTGCACCCGACTGTATCAATCCTAAAACACAATGCCGATTGTTTGATGATGGAGGCATTTCATCTTTTGCAGGATACAAATTTTCAATGCAAGTTCAGAAGACCACGAGGAAGTTGCGACCACAAAACTCAGGGATGCTATTCTCTGCTTTAAGTAAGTGATTTACGACCAAAATCTTGTTCCCTATCAACCAGCACTCTAGGGTTTTAAGCTATTTCTTTTGCTGACGTTGTCTATCTAAATGTTGCAAGATCTCCGGTTGCCGTGTTGGGGGAAATGGGCATGACTGTCGCGAATTTTAGCAAAAAATAAGTGAAACTGAGATAAACAGTTGATGACACTAATTTTCAACTTATAAAATAATTTACTTGGTATTACATTGCTTATTTTAGTGAAGAAGCTATTTGCATGGTTTGTAAATGAAAAGGATGAGTTTTGAAATAAATATTTCTAGTAACTAAATTAAGAGTATAAAACGACAGAATATAAACCACAAAAGATTTCATTCGACTCGTTGCAAGAGTTTCATTATTTTCTTTAATTTTATGCTTGCAAAGATATAAATGCTTGAAAGCTATTGCTAGCATATTTATAAAGCTTCAAAGATACCATGGGAACTATATCGAAATTAATTTCTTTAGAGAGTGACACCAAAAAATTTAAGCACAACTTGACTGAGTTGCACTTTATCTGCTACAATATATTTGGTAATTCAGCGTTTGACCTGCTACTGTTCTTTATTCATTAGCTTGAAAATCTGATCCTATGAAGTTCAGTTCAGAGTCAAACAACCCTGTTAAGACGTTTTCACAAAGTTAATCGCTAGATTGAAACCTAAGGATATTGATGATCCCTCACAGCGTACGCACTCGAAAGACCACCCCTGCATAGTCACCCTTGAACCATTTTTTAGATCCAATAAGGCCTATTAATTTTTAATTAACAGTCGTGTTTTCAGAAACTCGTTAGTAATAATGAGAGAAATGAGCTAGAAAAGATAAGATAGTTATTTCTTACTTAGTGAGAAATGCAAAAATATTTCAGTAGTTATTGAAATTTGCAGGGAATTGTTTAGGAGCTGTTAAATGATGACTTGCCTAAAATTAAAATATTAGACATGAAGTCTTTCATAAACTGCTCTTACAGTGCCGAAAAGGCAGAGCTGTACAAGATATGGTGTATAGAGCAGACAATTCTAAGTTGTAACTCCGAGTTTCGTGTTTAATGCAACCATCAGGTAACTTTCTTGCATCAGGTTGTTAGAATTTTTGGATTGCCTTAGTTTCCCTCTCCTTCGAGGAAATCTAGAAGCAGGATCTCTCAAAAGACAATAAAACTGATGTCCTTTTGTTTTAGACATTTTGATGACAAAATGTTTTGTGGAGTTGCAAATGGAACAATAGCATGCTTCCGAAGAAAAGCAGGTATGTTTATTCTATTTTTAGTCCATGAGAGTTATGATTATTATAATTCAGTTGCGTGTCTCTAAAGATGTTGTTTCATCCAACCTTTTAACTAAATTCAGTGTTCTCTCCAATTAGTGGACCATGGGGGCAAGAGCAAGGTGTCCGCTAATTGGAAGTGTCCGCCTTTCGGAAAGTTTTTTATGAGACTTTGACCAGAAAACGATCGATCGCGGAAAAAATGTGTCCGCTAATCAGAGGTGTCCGCCTTTTAGATTGTCCATTAATTGGAGAGAATACTGTAGTGGACTTGGGCAAACTGGCAATCAAAAAGTAAAACCTGTCCAGTTAAAAGAATCTAAAAAAGGATCAATCTTCAACAACTTTGCTTAACGTAAAACTTGATATGATAATTTAGGTATTTTAAAATTATGATGAAACCGACAATGTCTCTGTTATATCTGATCGTTGCTAGACAGCTTTAATTGGGAGTAATGCGGCCTTGACTTGTACTGTTGTGAATTTATTTATCTGCAAAACCTGCTTAAAGCCATTGGAAAACAAGCTTCTATTTCGATTTATTTATTCTCACACCATTCCTTTAAGACCAACAATTCAGTTCCTCCGTAATCATTTCTTCATCACTTCTTTTCATCATTCAACATCACTTCTTATAGGCCCCTCAGAAAATAAGCATATAAAGGCAATTTTAGAATAAGTGTTCGGTACGTGAAGACACTCCTACATTCTCTGAAAGCCATCTATAAATAGCTGACTCTCTGTAATGAAAAAATATGTTTTATTTAAAGATATCTTTATATTAAGCAGCATTATATTGTTTTTTTGTAGATTCATCATGGGATATTGACAACCCAGTAATTGTTTGCTTGAGTAATTTTGCCGTTATGGACATAGCGGAAGCACGGAGACAATTGTGGTGTGCTTCAGGCAACTGCATTCATGTCCTTGATTCCGAAACACTTGGTGTTCAGGTAAAGCATAAAGATTTGGTATTGTAAATCAACATACTGTTTTTATCCTGTCAATAAGAATAGGTATTCTCTAGCAGTTTCAGGGTGATCAAGGTTTTTGCTGTCTTCTAGTACAATTATTTCTAACTAAATATATATTTTGTATGCAAGGGGCACGGAAAAATGGAAACATAGCTTGCTTTCCATGTTAATATTACGGTTTGCTCAACCAGAGACTCGTTCCAATTTTAAACCATAGATTGAGAAAAGCGACTGTCGAAAATATATGAAGCGAAAATTGAAGCAGTTCTACTGAAACGACGTAACAGATTTCATTCACTTCCTTCAAGTTTTCTGCAGCATTACGCAAGCTTCCTTCATAAAGACTTCCTTGATATTTACATTCAAAGAACCCTTGTTTTAATAAGCTGTTTTGATTTAAGGCTTTGACGCGGAAGTAGTTTTTTCTGGCAAGCCTTCATTGCGGACAATCACACGTATCACGTGGTAGAAGCCGCGTCTGTGTCATTGTAACTGTTAAAGGCAAGCCCTGTCTGATTATTTGATCGGAAGATAACAAAAAACAACCGTGTCAGCGTAAAGGTGCCGGTCATCTTATACTTCATATGCACTTTCCGTGTTCCTACTTTTACACGAGTTAACTTTCTGTTTATAAGATCTCACAACTCATTACAGTCTGAAAACCGTAATCAAAATTTTCGATTTTTCCTTCTTTGAGTTGTAGAACTAATTGCTTCCTCTTCCCTCTGGTCTTCGATTATTTCTTGAAGCAGGACAGAAGAAATTTCCCGAATGTGTGATTTGTTTTTTTTAATATTTTAAATTTATTTATGTATAATGTATAAGATATTTAAATGTATAAAAATTTTTTTTCTAGCGTAGAGTTTTCGATCGTTCTGACGTTTTAAACTCTGTAGAGTGTAAGACGAAAAGCTTTTATTTACTCAAACGTTTGCTTTTTTCAAAGCTTTTTTCAAGTTGTACCACCTAAAGATTGTTTTTTTCTTTTTTACGTTAACCCTCATTTTATTTGTTTTGTGTGCTAACCTGAAATCTTAAAATGTTGAAATAAGAGTTTGTTTTGCAGGCAACAGGAATAACAAGAGACCTTTTTATTATTTGATTCATCATCCTTAGTTTTAAATATTGTAACTAATGCAAGACCTTGTGACTTACACAGATCAGTCACATGCCATACTCCGATCTATTTGTTTGATCCTGCTGTAGAGTATATGTTATATGTTATTTGTATATATGTTCTGGTAGTTGGTTGTGTAAAATAGTAGTTGCAATTTGTGTAGTTGCTACAGTTTCAGTCGAAAAGAGATTCTAACAGTCTAGCATTATTTCACACAAGTAGCGCGACTCAAAACGCAACTCAACTCACTTTCCATTCTCAATAAGCAAATGTATATATGAGTTTGATTCAAAAAACACTGAAAATGACTGTGAAAAAAGCACGTGATAAACTTTTTGATCCAGTTTTAGGGGTAGCAGGAACAGTAAAGGGTAATTGCGAACTTCCTTCTCACTTCACAGAATTTTACCCGAAGACTGTTATCCTTTCTTTACAGCACAAAATACATGTAGGAGAAAACAGTAAAATTCCTGTGAAGCATTTGGTAAGCTACGGATCTGGAGTTTGGGCTTCACAGCGGAAGAGCCCAACTTTGCATTTATACCATAATGAAAACTATGAATGTATTCAAAGTCTTAGTGTGACAACCCCTCTACAGAGAATGCGAAATGGTAAGTTCGAGAAATCTTTTTAATTTTTTTGCATTTAGAGTGCTGACGCAGACGTGAATAAAGCTAATAACAAGAAAGCAACTGACACCTAAAACCGAGCCTCAAACAGACCTGTTTCACCCTATATCACGACTCCTCGAAAAAGCTCCAACCTTATAAAAATCCCCCTCCTCCGAATAAACCTTTATGGACAACAATAGGTTTATCCAACTATATCTTCATTTGTAAGCATACTGAGCAGCCTCAAATATGGGAGGAAAATTTATCATGGTACATTATTTGGCTGCTGCTAAATAACCCCCACTTTTGAAAGAGCCCTCTCCCCTTTCGAATAAGCCCCGGAAAAATTCTTTTAGTGAAATTTTTTTCAAGAGGCTTATTCGAGGACTTACGAAGCTAGGTTTATTAAGGGCCAATGCTGACCCAGTTCCAGCTATTAAACTGTTCGAGGTATATTAATCACTTGGAAGGTTGTGTTATACTGTTTGAATAGAAAACAACTCAGTTTGCAGTTTGTCTTGGAAAATGCTTTTGGGTTTGATTTTTACTGCAATCTGTCACACCGCCTGGTATTATGAAACCGGCTTCTAGTTTCGTTTTAAGATTTCTCCGAGGAATATTACACGTATTTTTGCAACATTTTGATGTGAAATGCACGTTTACATCCTTGTATTCGTGCACGAAAAAAAATTCTTTGCACATCGCTCAACATAACTCAACATAACTTAAAAATACAGAAAATCGGTCAACATCTCTGAACATCTTTGAACATCGCTTAACATCTATGAACATCGCTAAACATCTATGAACATTGCTAAACATCTATGAACATTGTTAAGCATCTATGAACATCGCTAAACATCTATGAACATTGCTAAACATCTAAGAACATTGCTAAACATCTATGAACATTGCTAAACATCTATGATCATCGCTAAACATCTATGAACATTGCTAAACATCTATGAACAACGCTAAACATCTATGAACATCGTTAAATCTCTATGAACATCGCTAAACATCTCTGAACGTCGCTTAGCATCACCTCAGCATTTAAAAAGTTTCCAAACGTTCTCAACATCCCCACCCGACACAAATGTCGAACGTCGTGAAGTAAAATGTCGCAACGGCTTGAACAAGGCTGAAGTTTCACTAGTTTCAGTTTGAGTGACACCTGTTATCCTTTTATATTTAGATATTGATTGCCAAATTCAAAATCTGAATATTGACAAGGCCTACATCACAACGCTGATGGCACGAGGTGGATTGCTCTGGGTTGGCACTGATATCGGCGTCGTTGTTACTTATCCCTTGCCTCGTCTTGGTGGTGTTCCTCAAGTATCAGGCAAGCCATGCGTCTCGTTTCACGGCCACGAAAACGCTGTTCGCTGTTTGCACGCGTTTAGGGTTGAGAGAGCTTTCAAACCAAGGGCTGCTGCAAAAGGGCGTAAGTGATGCTTATTTGACCTTGTATTGTGCATGTAAAGTCTTATCCTTGTTGCAGCAATCTCTTATATTGAAGTATTGCATTATGGTCTTTAAGTCGGCTTATTTTGCTGTTCACTTGTTTGATGAATTTTACTGCTCCTTAAATGGCAACAGATATTCTTCTTCTACTCATTGGGAAACTCGTCAGTTAAACGTTAAGAGAAAATTATCTAAGGTGATAATAAAAAGTTTGAAAATCAGAACCGATTAAACTCATGTTAGTTTTTCAAACGTTGAAGCTGGTATACTAGCCTGCATTTTGAAGAAACAAAACTAAAATTCAAAGTTTATAAAAGTTTTGGTTGTTTTCGAGCCACGCAGGTTTATACTAGCGACTTCTCAATTTTTAGAAATATCTTCATTGAATGTAATAGATTTGACGGCACTGTGTTTTTATGTTACAGAAAGCGATGATGCTATTGCACGTTCTTTGTTCTATTTTGATCCATTTGATGAAGCAGCTACAGGCCTTAACCTGCCTTACCTGGAACATGGAGCTGCAAATCGAAATGAAACGCCGTCCGATGCTGGCAACGAGCCATATTACTTCGCGTTAGAGCAAGAAAATAACCAAACCAAAGGCACTAGACAAAAAACGGCCTATGAACAATGGTTGAGCTCATTTGGAGATAAGGTGAAAAACATTGATCCGCAGTTTTCGGCAGATACGCTGGAAATGCAGGATTGTCAAGGAAGTTATAATAGTGACGAGTCAATGGATTCTGATACAGAATTCTCTTTCATCGAAGACAAGCTTAAAGCGGTTCCACCCAGAATGAAGAAAAATGGACCAGGATTTTCAGTTGAGATCAGACAGCCAAATGGATCAAACAAAGCCCCACAAGGGACAGTCAAATTGGTTAATGCTCCAGGTGCCATGCCTTCAATTGCTGAGACCAATTTCGCTGAGATGTTAGGAAATTTTGCAGGTTTCGATTTGCAAGAAGAGACTTCGGAGAAAACAGCTGAAAAATCTTCTGAGAGGTCTCTGAGTAGTTCTGGGTTTGTAATGGTGGAGAAAACTAATTCTGGCTATGAAGAGCCGATTCCAGCAGCTAAAGGGGTTACTGCTCCTTATGCAACTGTGAAGAAGAAAGGGAACGCTAAAGATTCGTCTACAGAAGCCCAGGGAGGTGAAATAAAAGACAGTACCCAGGAAGACAGTATGACAGGTGTTAAAGAACCCCCTGAAGATATCGTTAGAAAATATGAAAATGAGCCTCTTCCTGAACTGCCTGCAAAAACTTTGTATGAAAGGTCAAAGGAATGGGACAAAAGCCTTGGTAAAGAATATGAAAACCTCAAGGCCACGGTACCAGATGTCAGCATCAATGATGACAAAGTAAGAACAGATAATAAAGGATGTGCTGATGAAGAAAAGAATGGCACTGAACAAAAGGGGCAAGGCATTGAGGAACAGAATAAGAATGTTTTTGAATCAGGCGAGGTATGCTGTTCGTTTTTTGCAAATATATCCTTGAGTACAGGATGACTGGTGACGTCATGTTTCAGGAGAATACTGTTGGTTCTAGTAGAGCTATCTACCTAGCTTTAAAGGCTCTTCCGCAACCGGCATGCTTTGCAACTTTATCTTTAAGACCGGCCTAAAATCATACTGCATGAAAATAACAAATATTGTCCAAACTCCTCGAGTAAAAGACAAGGTATGCTGGTTGCAGGGGAGCCTTTAAAGTGCTATTCAAACTTGGTTTTTTTATTTCATGATTTTAGTTAAAATCTGTATTTTCTTTTAAAGGATCAATCTGGTGAAGCTATTCCCATGAAAGAAGAACAGCTGCCTGCGGAATCAGCCCTGATGGAAGTACGAGCAGCTGATATACCCCTCCCTGATCTTCCAGATGAAGAAGAGCCTGAGCTTGATTTCGAACGTCAGGAAGAGGAGGACATTCAGGCGGTCGCAAGAGACGTTAAAAGCCCAATATTTATCAAAATTACAGACGTAAAGACTAATATGAGTATTGAAGGTAGAGTTAATGTTGATGTAGGCACAGTGCAAAGCAAGGACACGAGGTTAACTTCGTTTTCAGAGATAGAGACAGAAGAACACAAAGGGCCAACCAAATCAAGAAGCCAAAGTGATGTTTTCCCAAAGGCTGCCTCCGAAGCCAAAGAAGAACCTTGGACTTCCCAAACAGCAAGAAGAAATCAAATGCCCTTTTTGCAAGGCAATTTTAGCACTCCAAGCTCCAAAACACTGCCTACAGCTACCAAGTCTACTGCCAGCCCACAACCTCAAAATCTCAATCTATCTAATGTTAATGAAAAAGTGGAACCTGAGTCAGTTTATACACCTTTGCTTGGTCAAAATAGGGAATCGAATCCCAGCTCACTATCCGGTATTGGTGCAACCAGTTTTGAGGCGGAAATGGAACTAAGCGCTTCTCTTGCCAGAGACAAGATCACAAGGCAAAGTCAGCAAGGCAATTATGCGTCACTAATCTCAGTGTCAGGTAATGACAACGAAAGTCGACGTGAGTTTCTCATGAAACCTATGTACGTTGTAAGCGTTGGTGGAGGATACGTGGATTTACGACGAAAACAAAAGATTGGATCAGGGCTAGAATTCTTCATGAAACTGGCTGCCAGCGAACCAGAGCCAAAGCTTCTAATTTGGAAAGTGATATCTTAACAGTCCTAAAGTTCTAATATATAGGTTTTTGTTGCTATTCATGTATATTCTTATGATTGTAAAGTTTTCTCATATAGGCTTTGCGCGAGTTGCTAGGTAAAAGTGAATGGGGCGAATGGGACCCATTCAAGATCTTTGCTAGGGACGTACCAATTATAACCACAACTGCCAGATTTGTTCGCATTAGCCGACACTTTTCACAAGCATTCTTAATCTTCCTTGCAAAATATCTAGCAGAAGTTGCACAAAAAGATGCTGTTAACTTCAATATTAAGAAGTCCTCTTTACGACGCATGTCTACATACGGACTTTAATGGACCCTCTCTTAGCAACATTCAAAATAATATAAGCCATCTATGTTCTAGGTAAGGTAAATATTGAAATTTTCTGACAAAATTCTGAAGAATTCATATAAAAGATGACTAATTATATATAAATTAAAGAAAATACATCAAACTCCTTAAAAACCACCCTCTGCTCACCCGGCCACTGGTACCCTTGCAAATTGTTGTGCAGTAGAAACCTGGTTTTTTACGAACCTTTAGCCGAACGAAAGAACTTGGTTTTAAGAACCACACGAAAGAATCTGCTTTTTTAAGAACCTTTAGGCCGAAATTTGAGGTCTTAAACAAGAGCCTGAACAAAGGTTAGGTCTGGAAAAGGTCACCTTTAAGGTCTTATTTGAAGTATCAGCTTCAAGTGTTGAATTAGGCGTTTATAATTTGGAATTTTAGTCAGAATGCAGACAATCTTAAAAAATTGGTCTTAAATATAGCAAATGATTTCGCGCTTATTTCATGGATGCGCATTTGTAATTTTTGCTTTGATCACTTTTTGTTCATGTCGATGGTAGGGAAAACAACATTTTTTCCTTTGGGCTATTTTCCAAAAAAGATGTCTTTTATGTTCAACTTGTTTAAACATTTCCCCTCAGAAAAGAACCTTTTAAAAACTTTCTAGACTGAAATTTATAATGACATCTCTTAAGTATTAGATTCTATTCAGGCTCGCTATGAAATAAAAGCTTAAGTTCTTTTTGGTGAGGTTCTACTGTATCAGGTTGTAAGCTAAATACAATCAAAGAAATATTTATCCATGGTTATAAATTTAATGTGTTTATATGATGTTTTATGAATGCAACTCTTCGATGGTATTGTTTGAAATTTAAATTTATTGGCTAATCCCTTTTCTTCATGTTCTCATTACAACTTTGATCTTATTAGCTTTGCAATAAACATCTAATTAGATTTTTATAAAATATTTTTTTCGCTGTAAGTAAAATTTTAAGTAGACTTTTTGATAATGTGGATGATTATTTAAATAGTTTTTAGATGATAAAAAAACGTTGGTTTATTTGGAGTTTTTCACATTACAGCATTAATCACATTGTATAAATGACTTTTCAAAGAACAATTCTCACCCAAAATGTATATTTGTCTACTTCACATGCTGTAAAGATGATCTTTGGATTGGTGCATTATTTGAAGGATTTTGACGGATATTTGAAGGATGGTTCATGAAATATTTTTAATATTTAAGGATGAATTTGTTCGCTACAGTCACTCTTGTGTGCACTTAAAAAGTTAAACCTTGTAATCAATTCAAAATTCTTGAAATTCTGATAGTACTGTGCCTTGCCTCTTAAGCTATCGAAAATTGATTTTATTATGTTAAAGTGTTTGGCTTTTTATAGCATTTATAAGATTATGGATTTTAAGAATTTATCAAAAGCAATTGAAGTCATTTTTGTTTTTCCATCATTTTCTGAGCATAGCTTCTGGTATCTGTTTCATACGTTTCTCGCTCTGAAACATTTTTGCATAAAGTATGAAATGAAACATTAAATACAAAAGTACCTACCCATTCTTGCTTTGTCATTTAAATTTTCGAAATTCTTGATTTTCAGCAAAGGTTAATCATAGAGTTTTAGATAAATATTTCCTTTTTTTCATTTTTTTTATTTGATCGTATTTAGCCAACTCTAATTGCCCAGTATTGTTCAGCCACGGTGCTGCAGCTGACTAGTGTACCGTGAGATGCTGCTTGGTGTGTCGTGAAAAATTCCCCAATCTCACCGTATTGGTTTAGAAATTGAAAAATCGCTTCTTTCTTCAATTCCTGCCAGGATATTAACTTTGTGTTCGTCAAAACAGGTTCCAAGGATTAGCAGTTAGTAAAAAAAATGTTTTTTTCATTACCAAGTACTTTTTCTTTGTGTCTATTTGAATGTTATTCAAGACACTTTAAGTTATGAATAAAGTCCACAAATTTTCATTTTTGACACTTTCTGCGTGATTTTTTCAATGAAAGAATTGTACTGTGAATCAAAAGGGTCGAGGAGCTCTGTAATAGCCTACTAGTAAATATGATACTGTTTTAAATAATGACTAAATGTCTCGATGCACAACTGAGTATATTTTCCCCAGCTTGTTCTTTCGGAACCTTATTCTGACGTTTTATACTATGGGGAGTGTCATACTCAAAAGCTTTCTGTATGCTGTAAAATGTTTTCTTTTTTCAAAGTCATTTTCAAATTTTGTACCGCTAAACAATTTTTCAAATAATGTTTACGTGTAATTTGTCTAAGTCTTAACTATAAGATGAAGCATTTTTTACATAAAATTTAACCTAAACAGGCAAATTTATTTCCATAACCTCCTCTATCAAAGGATTAATAATAGTACTACTACTTATTGCCATTGTGAATTGGTGTTCAGGAACATTGAGCAATTGCATTCGTACTAGAAGAAAGACTTTTCATATTGGATGATCAAAGTATTATATCCAATTCAATCTAATTTCAACTTTTTGAAAATCCAGTCTTTATAAGCATGCCTATTTTTCTTTGTGAATAGCCTTATGACCTTTATGAATACTAGAATGGCAAACCAACTTTGGATGCTAAAGTGAACTTTTTTCAGTCAAAAAGGAAACTGCATTTCCATCATAAAACTTTTTCTTACTTTGTCAGTGAAATTCTAGTTTCATAGTACGATTGATCAATCTTTACGTTTTTTCAAAGTTTATCACCTTCTTTGTGCCAAAAGTACTTTTTTCAACAATAGTAATTGACAATGATTAAGTTGGAAATATTTTCACCTCCTTTGTTCATTTTCAATATGCTTGTTATTAAAATTAATCGTGATATTGGTGCAAGCAAAGCTATCTTTTTCTTTGATGAATTCATGTAAAACAAAGAAAGACTGATGTATTAATTATCAATATCATGGTTGTTAATCTTTAATATCTTTTTTATCACAATAAAAACAAATACAAAATAATTGATCATTGTTGGGATGAAGGCAAAAAACATAACGTTATCGAGTTGCCTCCACATCCAACATTACAAATATTCCAAAACTTAACGCTATAAATACACTATAAATACACAATACAGAACAACACAGCACAATACAATAGAATACAGTACAAATACAGTACAAATACAGTACAAATACAGTACAAATACAGTACAAATACAGTACAAATACAGTACAAATACAGTACAAATACAGTACAAATACAGTACAAATACAGTACAAATACAGTACAAATACAGTACAAATACAGTACAAATACAGTACAAATACAGTACAAATACAGTACAAATACAGTACAATACAGTACAAATACAGTACAAATACAGTACAATACAGTACAAAATGCAACTTTGTGTAGGTTATCGTGTTAGTTCAGGACCACATGATTTGATTTTTAGCAATAAAAACCGTATATTTCGCAATATTACAAAGTAGTTTCATTTTCGCAATATTACAAAGTAGTTTCATTTTCGCAATATTACAAAGCAGTTTCTTTTTCGGAGCCTTTTCCAGCGTGCCACACATCAGAATGATGTTTAATGCATAAAACCAAATTTTTAGCATTTGTAGAATTTACATATATTTTTACTAAAGACAACAATCATGGCTTTTTTACACTTTTCCAATAAAACAGATTGGAAATATTTTGAATTTTTCTCTCTGCATAGCATAAAGTTTGGACTATTATCATGTAGCGCCGCAAAATTTTACCATTTTCTAATCGTATATAATTAGTCTATTATTTTCTTTTTTAACTTGGTGTTTTGCTAAAACTTTGCCAGTCTACAAATCAACTTTTTTCTGCAAAGTCTTTTTCCAAAAAATATCTGAAAAATTAACCATTGGAAATTTGTTTTCAGTGTTAAACTATAACTTTCAATCTTTTTATCCTGAAAATCATTGAACCCCTTTTCAATTATAAGATGCAACCTTTTCAATTTCCTAAATAAGCTTTTTCTACACCTAATAATAATCAACCAATTTAGTATTTTTGTCTTTGCTTCGGTCAAAAAATGCATTAAACATATAAACATTTTAAGTGCAAACAAAATTATGGAGATTAGGAACACAAAACAAAAATATGGAGATTGGGAACACAAAACCTCATTACAACTAATTACTGCAGCGCTATTTATCGTGATAGTAATTTATGTAGGAACAAATTTATGCAAATGACAAGAAAGCTTATCTTGAAAGCTTAAAAAGAGAGGAATGAACTTGGGTTTAATTAACGTCTCTTCAGTTCTTACAGGTTAATGTACAGTACCAATATCGTGCCCAAAAGTTTGTTGGGTTTGTGAGACCTCAAAAAGTTTTGATACCAAAATAAAGAACTGATGGCTTGAATTTCAAATTCAAAAAAACTTCGATAATCTATATCAAAATATTTCCAAGTCCCATCTTTGGTGAAACAAGACTATTGGGAAGACTTCTATAATTACTTTTATAATGGAACCTATAAATTCATCCGGTAAATCACCTCCTTGCAAAAAGTTTTGTACCTTCTGCTTATTTAAACCTATGTGATGGTTATTTTAAAGGCGTTCTTCTTATTAGTTTTTTCTTTGTTCTAAAATCAAAGATAGCATTTTCTAAAAATTTTAATCCTTTTTTTTAGTTTTAGATTATTCATAACCTCATTAATCATAAACGATTGATACTAAAAATAAAAGCTTTTATAAAAAGACAGTACTCCTAACGTTTGGCAGTTCATATGAAAGAAGATTTTTTGATAAGAACTTACATATATTTACTAGAACATCTTCTGGAGAAGCCTTTTAGTAAAATTGTATGTTGATAAAACTGCACGTTTTTCGATGAAATAAATCATTTGTTAAAAGCTTGTGACATTCTGATTACTGTTGTGAGTTTTAAAAATCGATCTTTCAACAGATAAAGTATGGATTAGGTAGTCTTGATTGCTTTTGATATATGTCTTCGATTATTTTTACTTGGCAAAATAATTTTCCTTTTTAATGACGTTTTATTTTGCTCTGATATGCATACAAGAATTGCAAAGAAAGACTAAAAGAAAGAGACGTTTTAAAAGGTTACTTTGTGTGCTTTTTACAATCACTTTCCTAAGTTTCAAATTTACTGTTAAATAAAGGAATACAATTACATTAAACTACTTTTAAAGCATATTTTAATACGAAATAACATTTCTTTGTGTGTCCAAAACAGCATCAGAACTTGACATCACAGTACATGGCAACACTGCACTTGGCGTCACAGAGGTCTCTTTCAGTCAGTGGCCAAACTTTTGGCTTACAAGATAAACAAAATTTCATATCTACAGTAAATAAAATTTTCTTCAAACGCTTTCTATTAAAGGTAATTGAGTCAGTATGAAAAAACTTGGAGAGTTGCTTGCTTGCTTTTTGAGTAGAGCACTTAGGCCCTTTCAATGATCTGCTTAGCAAATTAGTTGTAACAAAAAGTGAACTGATAACAGAACACATAAGAACAGTTTAGTAAATAGGTTTGTTTTTAGAACATTAGTTTCTAACATATCATAAAATTGTCAATAGTAAGAAAAATATGCAATGTTTTGTATGAATGAATACTGCTTATGGTCTTAAAATATATAGACCGGCTAATGTTTATAAAACCGACAAAAGAAAAGCTGCTTTATCGCCTGCTTTATCGGAATGTTGGGATGGGTTTAAAATTTGAATTAAGAGGTACGATTATTGAATTTGTTCTTTTGGTACGATTATTCAGACAATCATACTGTAATAGCAAAGTAGAATGGACTTATGCTAGAAAAGAGGAAATCTGATTTTTGATAATTATCGATTTCGATATATGTGATCACAAAAAGAGCAATTTCATTGCAATTGTTCTGGGCTTGGTATACGATACTAAAATGCTGACTCAATCCTTTGCTAAGATAGCATCAATTAACGGGAAAATAAAGCGTAGCTTCTGTAACAGAATCTCAAGTAGCCGCTCTGGTGTTGTTTTGCTGTGGCATTCTCACGTTCCAAGTAATATACCACAGAAATCCGAACCATTAAGAATGATGACAGGATAGTTTGACTTGTTCTCGATGTGTACTGATACGTGTTGTCCGGCCTAAAACGATAACAATTAAATTTTGGCTATACAAGCTTAGTATGTATTAAGTTATTCACTATTAATAAAATTGATCTTCAAACTGTTGTTTTCAAAATTTCAACAACTACTTTATTTTCCTGAATTACCTCACCAAATTTCTGAAAAACAAAACAGAAATCGAAAAAAACTTTACTATCTTTGTCAAAGTAAATTTATTAAAAAATCGTTGTTCCAATCATTGCTTTAGCGTAATTTAAAGGCCCTATGTCCCGTCAGACAACTGTTCAGAGTTGACTATAGGCTTTACATCGCGTTTATGATCGAGAACTAGTCTTACGTTGCTGAGTTGGTGCTGAGTAGGCCTATTGTGTAGTCCAACCAATGGGAAGTTTGAATGGCCAGCGAAATGCATTGGGAGATAGTGCCTCTAAGCCAATATCAAATTAAAATCAATTTTCGACATTTTTTTGAAGTGAAAAAGCAGAGTTGAAAAACACCATTACAGCTTTCTTTTGTTCAAAACATATTTTGGGTAACGATTTTTAGATTTTTAAATTCATATCAAATGATGGTTCGTCCCTAAAAATTAAGCCATTTTCTGGACTCGGACTTTTGATTCTTAACAGCAAGTAGTTCATGATGAATGAAATTCCGTTATCGTTAAATTTCACTAAAATATCATTGATTTCTTACCATAAGTAGAAGGATGCCTTGAGCATGAACTGAAAATATCCGGCTATTGCTGGACAATCCTGAAGTGCTTGAAAGACTCCTTAAAAAATGAACAATTAATGCATTAAGAATTAAAGCACGCTAATCATTTTAATTCTCATATGAACTGTTAATGACACCTTTTAAACGTGATTACGTTTCAAGTCATTCTAAACGGCAATGGATATATGATACTTTCAATCTGATATTTTTAGGTGGAACTCCAAGAAATTGAAATCTTTGATCAGAGAGAATTTTATTAGGCGAAAACTAACTCTCAATCATGAAAACCATATTGATCATAAAGGTTTATTTATTATTGAAAGCAATCGACAGATACAAAAGTGGCTTGAGCCATCTGTCAATTAACATTAGCCAATCAGTTAATCAACATTAGCCAATCAGTCAATCAACATTAGCCAATCAGTCAATCAATTAAATCAATCAGTCAATCAGTCAAATCATACCAATCAATCAATCAATGAGTATAAGATGATTGCCTTTGAAATAAAATTATCTTGTTGGTTTATATTCAGTTCCAAAATAACATACATTATCTAAATTATGGTAGAACCTTCTTTTAGCGATAACTGTTCCCCTAAAAGTTTGGCTTCAAGAAACGTGAACAACTAGATATTCATACACGGGCCTAATGAGAGGGAGAGCATGGGGGCAGATTGTCCCGGTCCCCAGCTGAGAGGGGCCCAAAAAGTTATAACAAGTTCCTAACATTGACAACAACAATGAAAATCACAGTTTGAATGATGTCATAACGGCCCCATCTTTCTCTCAGCCCTACGCCTATAAAAGCTCTTGGATAGCCCGAGGGCATGATATTGAGAAATTATGTGCATAAATACAAAAAGACTTACGCATTCTCGTCGCATTTGCCATTTATGCAAATCATTGCAGTTATAAAGTCTTTTCTCAACAAATTGGTTTCTCTTGTAGATCTTGCAACATGAACAGAAAGTTGAAACTGGTAAACTGCCGTGTGTGGTATTGTGTACCTGCCACTAAGGAGATTCATTCGATTGCCTCGAACAAAGGTCCCGTGTTTCTTTGCCTGGGTGAAAATATAAATTTAAAGACATTTCAGTAAAGAGTGAGGATCTATCAATCTATGTTGCATTTGTATTGTAAGAAGTCAATGGCAAAAAACACATTATACATGTGAGCAACTGAGCAAGCGAAGGATATTGTTATCCGTCTTAAGGATTAAGTCTTAGGTAAAAAAAACTGAATCTCGATTTCAGCTGTAAACATACAGCCTCCAATCAAACCCAGTTAGATTCACAGTCAAATCTGTAAAATCCAGAAAAAGGCTAAGAATTGCAAAAATTCCTGCAAATCGAGATTTTCAACTTTCTCTTTGACCTTAAGGTTGTACGAATAGGGCTAGAGGAATCTTAAAACCATGTTAAAGACTTAGATTAAATGTCTAATCTCTTTCGAAGTTGATTTGGAAGTTATAAAGCTGTAGCGCTGATGATGGGATTAATAAAGTAAAGAGATTATTAACAAAGGAATCCAAATAAATGGCTCAATAAACCAGTTGATATAGATAGAGTAATAACCAGTGAATACATTAATGGAAAAACCAATAAGGTGTGTTCAAATGGTAAAGGAATGAATCATTGGGTGTCATCATAAATCGACAAGAAATAAATGAATTACCAATCAAAGCTAATAAATCGATAAAGTTAAGATCTAGCATTATGAGGGATTCGAGCTTTAGAGATTCATTCAATTTTTCAAATAATAGTGAAGATTCACCTCGAAATTTCTGAGTTCAAGTGTGGATTTCCTAGGTACCTCTGTCTTCTTATTCAGTTCAATATGAAAACCCGACAACACATCAGGAACACCTGCTGCCAGTAAGCCATACGATTGACCTGCAAATCTTTGAGTTCTTCTGCTTGCACTTTCTAGAAAATAATTAAAGTAAAAACTGGGTAATCAGGTGAATTCTATTGTTTGTTGCTCAATGGTAGAATGAAAGGACTTCTCAAACAGTTCAATTTTTCAATTTTTGCCAATAGATGTACCCAGATTTATATGCTAAGATTTTGGTTTTTCAGTTAAAAATTGCTAACATTTGCTTGAGGGTGCGAAAAACAGGAACACTACTTATAGTGTCTTGAGTGAAGGGGCTGAGACACGCAATGTAGAGAAATCCAAAATGCTTTTTCTAGATTCGTATTGTATGTCTCTATATAACTTTCTCATACTGCTATTAATACTATTTAAGCATGTGATCTAAGTATCAATCAAATACTTCGATTCCATAACACCATACTACTGAAAGCTATTTTTCCATTGCATAAACTTCCTTTGCCACATCAACAAGAAATATTTTGGTTGTGGTATGTTTTTTACGTAAATCAATCCGATTTTCTCTTTGCCGACAAGCTGAAGTTTAGGCTACATTCAGTTAAATTCTAAATCATTAAACTTGACAAAATCCTGTCTTGAGCACCTTTTCACAGCTCGAAGATGAAGGCTAACTTTTCAATGTATCTCTAAACCAGGTTTAAAGAATAGGAAAACATGAATTTCTGTACCGAGCGCTCGTTTTCAAGAATGATTGTATGTAAATGGCCGACGCATACATAAAAAACATCTAAAGTACTTCATGTAACTATGGTTCACTACCTTGCACCAATGTTCTGAACCTTGCCATCATCGATGCTTCTGTGATTTGAGCTCCGGGAGGCCCTGGTGGGCCAGGTGGTCCTGGGGGTCCTGGTATTCCGTCAACTGAGGACTAAAAAGGATAATATTTCATATACTATACATCTTGAAAATTTATTGTATAGCATCAAATAACAAATACTCTTAAGAAGGTAGTCTCGAAACAGCCCGAGCGTTTGTTTTTTACATGGGTTTTTGTATTGGCTTGACAGATATTTGCACATAGCAGTGACTAAACAGAACAAAAATCTACAATTCATGATCTCAACATTTGAAATTAATGAATTGGACTTACAAATCTTTGGCCTTTTGACTTATGTCTCTTCCGCGGAGGGTTATTGGCTCTGACGCCCTCCTTCTGTTCCTTTTCCTGACTGGCTATAAAGGCGAGCCAAGTCTGGTAGGGGTCTACAGTTGTCGAAGGATTTCCAGAGCCCTACAAAGAACATCATTAACAATGAAATATCCAGATTGACCTTGTTTCAGAAGGTTTTCCATATACCTGTTTCGAGTTGAGGCAAGCTAGAAAAATTGAGTGCATTTTGGGGCCATTTAGGAGCTTCATATTTGCTATGAACAGAAGACCAGATAGACATATTAAAGTTGTTGGGGAGACAAAAAAGAGAAAGTTTTAAATGAGTGTGGCAACCCTCAGTCCTGGGGTGAAGGAGCATGCACTTGGAACGAAGTCATTAATACGCATGCTCTTTGATTCTAGGACGGAGGGTCGCTTCACACATTTGTAGGTTTTCGCGCGTTCATCTTCAAAACACAAAGTAGTAACGTAGACCAAGGTGTCTCTTCTACAACATTCTTAGGAGTGCACCCTTCAATGTGTAGGCAAATTCCCTTAAAATGCCAAAATTTGAAATCAGATCGATGAAAGATTGATATCTATGTAAACGAAAACTCCAGGCTTAAAAAAGAAAACCAATAGAACTGAAGCATATTAGCAACAAAATTTTAAAAAATGAACAAAATTTAGCATTTGATCCGGAAAAAATTACTTTATTTTCAGAAAGTAAATTAGTTTATGTAATTTTGTCAGTTTGTAGATCAGTGGCCTTTCGTTTGTCGTTCTTTTCTTCGCACATTTTACGGGCAATTTATATTTTATGAGAACGGTTACACTGAAACGGTATAATTTGAGATAAATTTGTCCCACCGAATGCAATGAGTCGGCGCTTCCACCTTTGGTTAGGCTGATTCAAGTCATTTGATGAAAAATGGAAAATGTTTTAGCAGATTTTAATTAATAAAAAAAGTCTTTCTATGAATGCTTTCGGAAATTTTAACTTGAATCAAAGTTACTGACGTTCATATTTTGATTATGGACACCAAAATGCAAAGTTGCATTTCTAATAAACATAAATGAAAGGCTCCAGATCATGCATTCAATAAAATGTCACAAACTGTAGAATAAATCAATAGTTTCTCTGGCCCATATGATTTAAAGAGGTAAAATTCGTTCGTGGATGTATCAACATTTGGTAAAATTCATATAAGATAAACATGTGGCTAAGATTAATCGTTTGGTCAGATATCAAGTAATTAATCTTGATATTGTTGAAATCATCAGTCACCTTGTTCTGAAGTGATGATATCACAAGGAATAAAATCATAACCTCTTGTAACCTTTTTACACAAGTTTAAGTGCCTCACAAGGCTTGAATTGGGTGCTAAATAAAACATAAGAGGGTATCATTGGGCACTCATACCACAAAACCAAACTGAGAAACGGCATCTTACTGAACATCTAACACATTCTATATTTGGCAATTCTCACTTTCAATTCGTTTTTGTTGTGGCAATAAATGCTTCAGGGATAGGAACAGCATTGACGTAACGTAAAGCTTGTGGCAGGAGGACCTTGGAGAATTTAATTGATGATAGCTGCATTCAACAGGAGTTACGTTTGGCGGTCAGAGATAAAAAATTTCAGTCAAACATATCAAAAATATTGATGATAAAACCTGAACCTTTTTATATTTGCCAGACAGCTAGTTATTAAAATCTTTATTATATGCTTATTTTAGAAGATGGCAGTTTGCCCATTAAATAGTGTCATCTAAAACATATCGAGACATAAAGAGTTGACCATTAATACACTAGAAAATAGACCCTGGATGTGCGCCCTCTTCGCGATTACTCGGATTTGGCCTAAATTTGAGTGCGGTTAACTGTATCGCTTCAATTACGAAAATTGCCAAAATTCACGATCAACGAATGTCAGAAAAATCGCACTTTGACAGATCTCAGAGCATAATGGACCTTTGTGTAGCATAGATCAGAAATAATTTGTTTAAAATGTTTCGAGTGTATTCAGAAAAGTTAAAAAAATGGTAACTCTGCAAATTACCATATATTTCACACCTTGAATATTAGTGATTTTATGTGTTATATGAAACCAATTTTTTGTGATACTTGCTTTTGATGAGGAGTAATTTTACTAAATGTTGACCTCTTAATGAATGATACAGTACAAGTTCCTGACTTTTTTGTTAGAGTTCTCAAGAAAAGCTTGATAAGATACTTTAACCCAACCCAGGTGTGTCACCATCTTTCATGATATCAAATTTTGCTTGAAATTTCTACAGCAAATACACGCACTAATCAAAATTTAAGACTTTGAAACAATCCTCGAGAAAGTTCCATGTCATGTTTCAATTTCAGGATTGTATTGTAAGATAATCGTAAGGTTGGTAGCTTATCCAAGTAGGCTGTACAAAAACGTGGTTTCAAACGGCCTTATTACGAAAACGAATATTGACATCTCTATTAGTTCGGATGTAAATTCAATATTAAAATCGGGAACAAATAGAAACCAGATCTAAATGGAATGAAGATCCTAGTTGAGCCAATTATCGTAAGCCTTCCGAAGTTAGACTATTCACTGACACATGTCAATTAATCAAAGGAGGTTGGCAGATGAAACTTTATAAGGAAGGCAAGAATTTCTACAAAGTATAAAAAAGAATTCTAAATGAAATTCCATTTGAATTTTAATTCAATTCAGTTCAATGTGGGTAAAGGAGTGATAATAGATTTGACAGATAACCTGGCATTCAACTCAACCGGATAATGTCTCGTAAAAAGAGACCGTTATTCAGAGTGTATTAATGGTGACACATCGTTGGTTTATTTAATGAGACAAGACACAAGCAGTATAAGGAAATTCGATATCCAGCTTTTCTCTGGGATAATTAGTTTTTTTAATAGTTTTAGAAATAAAGCTGACTCTTGTTATAGTCTTATGATATTTTAGGTGAATAAGTGTTGATGTAGCTTTGAACAAAGCATAATTGAACAGTTTTGTATAATTAGGCTTCAGTTTTTGGTTAGTATAGCCCTATCAGTGTAATCAGTGCAACTGGAAATGACACAAAATGATAACAAGTCAATGCGGCTCTAATATAATGTATTTTTATAATCATGATTAGAAACGAATACTGTGACGGTATTGAGCAAAATGAACTTACAGAAGCGTGACTTTTCAGTATGCAATGAATACTGATGTATCAAACGCACAATGCTAGCAACATACTTGAACCATTTTGAAAAAAACTGCAAATTTATGAAAAAGAACATAACAGTCGGTGATTTTGCAGTTACCAACACAATCAAAACCAATAGGATCAACCAGTTATATCAAACAATATCCCACAATTCAAAGAGCGCAAGAGACTAAATGATTAAATGATTATAGAATATAATCTTCAATGATGCGTCATGTGGAGGAATAAGAGAAAACATAAAAGATTTGAGGAAAAATCTTTCACAATGATGTTTGAGGCATTTTCGATGCATCATCTTCTGATCAGAATGCGCAGGTCACAAAAACCACTTTGCTTTTCAATGAATTATGCAAATTATTATCATTGTTATACTGCTATTAGTTATTGATGCTAATTAGATAAAGTACAAAGCAGGAAGTTGAAAGATTACTGTGATGGATCAGTGGTTAATGAAAGATTCGGCATCAGTTTTCAAGCATTGTTCTGTGTTAATGAACCAGAAAACTAAACTGCTTCAAAAGATTATTAGATACTTGCTCATTTCAGTAAAAGGATTTGAGAAGATCTTTCTTTTCTTCGCTAAAGAAGAGTAACTAATACGTTATAAGAACCATTCACTACTTTTTCGTTTCCATTTTGCTTCACCATCCCCAAAGCAAATTTCACAACAGATAAACAAATCAAATCAATTTCCCTACTCGTTTCAAACACTCACTGAAGTGTATTCTCTTATCTATACTTTTAGTTCTTCTTATGTAGCTAAATGATAAGTGGTGCACCTATGCACGCCAATTGTTTGCCATTCTGTTCTTTCTTTATGCAATTGGTACAGACACGAAAGTTTGGCAGTCACTCGAAGTATGATAACGAAAGAACGAATTATTTTTGGTGATGCCCTCGAATGCAGACTAGCTTGAAATTAATTACATTTGGTAAATGCAAATTTTTGCCACATACTTTCTTAAAAGCTAGACAGCAATTATTCTATTGAGACCTTTCATGTACAGAAATTTTAAGTTTTATAATAAAGATATCAAAAAAATTAATTTATCTTCTCGAAAATTGCTTCTTGAGAAAACTTTAGAAATTATTCTCTCTATAAAGTCGTATTCATTGTTTAAGACAAAAAAAGCTACAATGCAACTCGTTGTTTTAAAATTTAACATTTTCTCAACATTTATTCACATCATCTGTGTTCTTAGCTATATATCTTTAGACAACTATTCTTTCGAGTGACATTACTGACAACTCTTTAAATGACATTGACTCAAAACAGTTTCCCTTTAGGTATAAATTTAAGTTTAAATACTATTTAACATTGGAATTCACTTCTTTATGTTATCTTCTCACCTCAAAAGGCATAAGATTGATTAAGCTTTGCAAGCAAATCAGCACTTTTTTGATATATGCAAAACAGTTTTCAAGTTTTCAGGCATAACTTATATGAAAAGGAAGTTTGAGGTATAGGAATTAAGCTCATTTTGTATAACGAATTCTAAGTTACACGTATATATTGTATTTCTGACCGATATCGTTAGCGGATTTGTTCCTGTTGCCAAGTGTAGCAATAAAAGACTAGATTGATACAAGTGGTCTTTTCGTTTTGTGCCAGGACAATCGTAGAAAAAACAAAAGGGAAAGACAATGTAGATTCTTTCGAAACATACTTTTGGCTTAATTGCAAGGGACAATATGCTAATGAAAGTAAAACCTAAGATTTTTTGTTCTCGTTGAAGAAAAGAGAGAGATTAATTTCGTTCAGTAAATAAAGCCTTTCCAAGCTAATTAGCAAATATCATTAGCTTTTATTTAAAGCAATGAAGAAAAGCAAAGTTCCATAAAACCAAATGAAATCCTTGCTAGGATAGACAAGATGCTAGTTTGCATATGCTAAGTACTGTCTGAAAATCGAAACACTTGC